TGTAATGTGTTCATCAAATAGTGCATGTATCGTGTATGGTCATACACACAAAGCACTCCACTTGGATGATGCTCAGGCAGCCACAGGACAACAGCTCCAGTGCTTCACCACACACCAGCTATAGGTGGAGTGGAGAGACAGTGATAGAGCCAGTTCAGTGGATGATTGGGAGACCATGATGGGTAAGGGCTGATGGAGGGAGTTTGGCCAGGACATCAGGTTTACACCCCTACCCTTTACTAGAATTGCCATGGGATTATTAATGAGCACAGAGAGTCAGGAGCTCAGTTTAACATCTCATCTGAAAGACGGCGCTCACTGACAGTATAGCATCCCCTTCACTATACTGGAGCATTAGAACTCACACAGACCACAGGTTGAGCGCCCCCTGCTGGCCTCACTAACACCACTGCCAACAGCAGCCTAGTGTTCCCATGTGGTCCCCCATCCAGCTACTGACCAGCCTCAGCCCTGCTTAGCTTCAGTAAGGGACCGCTCTTGGGCTGCAGGGTGATACGGCTGTGGCTAAAATGACAAACTAAAATAAAATGCCCGGATATTCCATGACTTGGACAAAACAAATATCCTCAAGTTTCCTGCCTTTCGATGTCTAAAACACTGCAACAAATGTACTTACTCTAAATGTTTGTCCGCTTTCTAGTCCAAATATCAACAAACTCTTAAATCAAAAAGCATTTTCTAGACAAGCAGAAAATATAGTCTTGCTTTCAGAAATAACAAGTCAAAATGAAGCCAGTTTTTCGTTAAAACAAGCTGAATAATCTGCCAATGGGGGAAGTGGAATAATCGTGTTTTCGTGTTGAGCTTAGTTTATTTTGATTCCCTCATTGGCAGATTATAAAATGACAATATTTTTTAGCTTTTCAAAATAAAAACCAGATTATTTTGCTTGTTTTAGTGAGAAACTATTGACTAGTCGATGATAATAAATGCCTGGATAAATGTGAGAAGGAGATATGTACTATTTTGCGGACGCCTTTAGGAGTGCTCTTCAAGACCTTCTTCTGGTCTGAGGTCTGCATGCTGGAGTGAAGAACGAACACCTGAAACCTGGAAACAGACAAACAGCTTTATCAGACATGTTTTATTTAATCAAACCATATGTTTTTAAATATGTTAAATTTAAATAGCAGTTTCTTATTGTAATATGCTTTTTTCATTTCTGTAATGGGTGGCTCAGTGGTTAGCACTGTTGCCTCACAGCACGAAGGTCGCCGTATTGAGTCCCGGCTGGGTCAGTTGGCGTTTCTGTGTGGAGTTTGCATGTTCTCCCCGTGGGTTTCCTCCGTGTGCACCGGTTTCTATGGAGTCAATCGAGGGCCATATATACTTGCAAAATTAATGAAAGATTTGCAAACAAAAAATTAAGTATTGAGAAAAAAATAAACAAAAAATAAATGCAAATCTAAAAAAAATAATAATAATAATTAAAAACTTTTTTTATTGCAAAGCAAAAATTTATTTTTGAGAAATATAAAATACAATTTACAAACAAAAATAAAGAAGTGCAAAAGGGAAAATTAAGTTTTGAGAAAAAAGAATAAACTTTGCAAACAAAAAAGAACTGCCAATAAAATCAAGCAGTGTGAAAATAATCTAAAATATTTGCATTTATATTTTATCACAAGTTTGCGATGCTGTTTTCTCTTTGCACTTCACGTTTCCCTGCGTTTAACTTTGTGGCTCTGGTTTGAGAAGGGGGTGGAGTCACTTTGTGGCCCTGGTTTGACAAGAGGGTGGAGTTAAGGGAACCTTGACTCCACCCCTTGTCAAATCAGGGCCACAAAGCAAAATGCGCAGAAACATGAAGTGCAAAGAGAAAACAGCATCACAAACTCACGATTGACTAAAAAGCAAATCAAGATGAGCATTGATCATGTGCTGTTCTTTTTTTCTTTGCAGATTTCATTTTTATTTCTCAAAAATACATTTTTGCTGTGTGATTATTTTGGAGAATTGTGTTTATTTATTTTTGCTCAATACTTTATTTTTTGTTTGCAAATCTTTCTTTTATTTTGCAAGTACATATGGCCCTAGATTGTCTCCATAGGTTTCCCCCACAGTCCAAACACATGCGCTATAGGGGAACTGATGAACTGAATTGACCATGATGAATGAGTGTTTCCCAGAACTGGTTTGCGGCAGGAAGAGCATCCACTGCCTAAAACATATGCTGGAATAGTTGGTGGTTCATTCCACTGTGGCGACCCCTGATGAATAATGGGACTAAGCCGAAGGAAAATGAATGAATAATTCCTGAGAAAATTGGCTGAATGTTTATTACCTTTACTCCAGTCTTCAGTGTCAATGATCCGTCATAAATTAAAAAGTAAGCATTTTTGTGCATCTTATTAGGCTTGTTAGATGACTATAAAGTATTTTAATAAAGATTATTATTTAATCATAATGCCTTTTTCACATTTTCTCACCTTTGCTGATGCTCTGTAAATCTTTTATCATCAAAAAGGATTTGATCTCTCAGAGAAACAATCTCATCGTAGCCGGGCAAAAAAATCAACACCGCACCTAATCATGTCAACAAATAACAGGATTAATATGAGCGTTATGTGCACAATTTGATCAATTACAAATAATGTTTTGATATCTGAGAGCAAAGTTATTAGAAAAAAATCTAATATTATTTTACTGACATATAAGCGCATCAAACACATGCCTATTAAATCAATAAATAAAAAAGCAATATATATATATATATATATATATAATAGAAAATAATATTTAATAAAATAAATCACATATGCATTATACAAATAAAATAATCTTGTATGTATACATACCACCTGCACTTGAATTTTATTTAGTTTGAATTTATAAAAAAAAAATTAATAATTTTTTAATTAAAAAAAAATCCATTGTATTTATTATAAAAATATTTATTTAAAAAAAATCTAGATATTTTATTTTATAAGCAATAATATTTTTTACTGAAATCATTAATACATTGTTTTATTGACATTTTATCTTAGACATTTCCATTAAACCCATAAAATACTGAATAATGTGTTTGTGTTTGTGTGTGTATGTGTGTGTGTGTGTGTGTTCACCCTGGTCAGAGCTCTGGCAGATGCTGTGGAGCAGGTGCAGGATGAGCTGCAGGTCCACCTTCTCGTCATCAAAGCTGTGGTGATAGGCCTTCAGCAGCTCCTGATCCTCACAGCTCAGCTCACAGGAGGAGTTCTGCAGCAGAGACGCCTCATCCTGCGGAGACGCTTCAGCACACCAGCTGCACACACACCCATGATTACACACAAACACATGCGGACACACATATGAACACACACACACACACACACACACACACACACACACACACACACACTGAATCCACAACCACTGAATCCACAACCACATACAAACATATTCTAGACACAGACACAACTACAAACACAGACATATATATATAAACAGTTGAGCTTAGAATTATTCGCCCCCCTTTAATTTTTTTTTCTTCTTCTTCAAATATTTCCCAAATGATGTTGAACAGATTGAGGAAATGTTCACAGTGTGTCTGATAATATTTGTTCTTCTGGAGAAAGTCTTATTTGTTTTATTTCGGCTAGAATAAAAGCAGTTTTCAATTGTTTATACACCATTTCAAGGTCAATATCATAAGCCCCTTTAAGCGATATATGTGTTTCGATAGTCTACAGAACAAACCATCATTATACAATAACTTGCCTAATTACCCTAACCTGCCTAGTTAACAGGGGGGCTAATAATTCAGGGGGGCTGATAATTCTAACTTCAACTGTACATACAAAGCCATTTACACACACACACACACACACACACACACACACACACACACGCACACACACGCTTACATGTGAGACTCCAGCAAATCCACCGCCTCCGTCTGCTTGAAGTGTTTTGCCCAGTCGAGAGCAGTCCTGAAACACACACACAAAAGGCAAAAGGGGGTCCAACCCGGTCCTAGAAAGGTGTACCTAATAAAGTGGCCTGTGAGTGTATATATGTACGTTTGTATTTGTGTAATGATGTTCAAGTGTATCACTGTGTATATATATTAGTGTGTATATGTATGCGTGTATGTGTGTATATCTCTGTGTGTGTAAAATTATGCATTTACAGTTGAAAGCAGAAGTGTACATACACTCTAAACAGGAACATAATCATTTTTTTTTGTGTCTGATGGTAAATCATACTAAACGTTTACTATTTCAGGTCTGTTAGGATTACCAGAATGATTTACATATGCTAAATACCAGAATAATGAGAGAAATTTCTTTTGAGAGAGTTTTTTATTAATTTCTAGACAGTCAATAGTGTACACACATTTCCTTGGTATGTTTTGGCTTTGCTGTTAATCTGTATAACTTTGGTCAGATGTTTTGGGTCTCCTTCCACAAGCTTCTCACAATAGTTTGCAGGAGTTTTGGCTCATTCCTCCTGACAGAATTGGTGTAACTGAGGCAGATTTGTAGGCTGTCTTGCTCGCTCAAGCTTTTTCAACTCTGCCCACACATTCTCTATAGGATTGAGATCAGGGCTTTGTGATGGCCGCTCCAAAACAATCACTCTGCTGCCCTTAAAGCACATGTGAACTCATTTGGCAGTATGCTTAGGGTCATGGTCTGTTTAGGAGACCCATTTGTGGCCAAGTTTTATTGTCCTGGCTGATGTGTTGAGATGTTGCTTCAGTATTTCTCCATAATGTTCTTTCTTCATGATGCCATCAATGCTGTGAAGTGGACCAGTCCCTCCTGCAGCAGAACAGCCCCACAACATGATGCTGCCGCCCCCATACTGCACAGTTGGGATGATGTTCTAGGCTTGTGCGCTTTCCCCTTTGTCCTCCAGATGTAACACTGCTCATGATGGCCAAACAGTTCAATCTTAGCTCCATCAGAGCACAGCACATGTCTCCACACATCAGTCTTTTCCCCAGTGTCATTCAGCTAATGGTAATCTGGCTTTGTTGTTGATTCTGGCTTGTTGATTTTCTCATGTTGTCACACAAGGAAGCAGTGTGTTTGAGCTTTTCCTTCAATACTATTCTACAGTTGTGCCCTACATTAACTCAAATGTTGTCAATTAGCCAATCAGAAACTTCCAAAACCCTGACATCATCATCTGGGGCCTCATGTATCAATGCTGCGTACGCACAAAAACTTTGCGTACGCCAGGTTTCACGCTCAGAATCGCTCACGTTTGGATTTACTAACAATGAACTGAACGTGGGAATGTGCGCAGCTTCACGGCAGCTTTCTGGCAGGCGTTCGCACAGAAACATTTCCATTCAATAAATGTGCAAATAAAATATGATGCACAGACTTATTAATGATTCCTACTTGTCTTTCTCGTGATAAATAGTGGGCAAAATCTGATATGCAGCGGGGAAAAAAAAGAAAGAGTTCATCAGACGCTGGATTCGAACCAAGTTCATGCTCGAACGTGTCAAAACATGTAGACATGCATCTTACATGCGCGCCACTGAGACTGTTAAGTTTACTGCAACAGTTTACACCTATGAATCACAACATTTCTTTTATAATACACTCAGTGCGATGTTCAGACCCAACTGTGTTAACCGCATCAGCTAAACTCTCCCACTCTATTTTTTTCTTTTGTTGTTAATTCCGGAGAACAAACTTGCAAATAACACCGCTTTTCTCTGGTCTACCTCCGAAAGGAGCACCTCCAATTCACATTCTGTTCAAAGTTTCTATTTTTGCCTGCTTTTGCCGTTGCTTTTTCGTTGGGTTTCTCCAAAGTAGAGTCATTAGCATATTCATACGGGGGAGGAGGCAGGGAGGGGTTTTGTGCTCGTGCATGTTATGCTCAGTTTCACGTTCATTCAGATGTACAAAAGAATATGCGTGGGATTCGGCGTACGCAGTGTTTCATACATCTGAATTTTTTTCTGCGTACGCACACTTACAGCTTTGTGCGTACGCAATGTTTTAGTATGATTTCCACGCAAGTCTTCGTACATGAGTCCCTGAGCTTTTCCAGAGGCAGAATAATCCTATTGTGTGTAAACTTGACTTTCAAGAAGAGTTATAACAGTTTATAAACAATATCTCTCTCATTATTCTGCTATCAGTTTAGTCACATTAACATCTGACTTCTTTTAAATGGTGATGTGCCTTATTATACAGTGTATGTAAGTGTGTGTAATAATGTGTGTGTGTGTATATCGATGTGTGTATGTGTGTGCTGACCAGCCGTTGGAGGCTTTGATGTTGATGTTTGCTCCCATGTTCAGCAGCTGCTCAGTGTGGCTGACGAATCCCCGTCCTGCAGACACCATCAGTGCAGTCGCGCTGGTCTCACTGTGTCTGTAGTCCACTGAAACGCACAAAAACACACACACAGGTTGTTTTTTTGTGGCTTATGAGGACTCCCCACAGGCGTAATGTATCTCATGCAGTATAAAGCGCTTATGTTATGGCTCTACCCCAAACCCCAACCACAAACCTGTGGACAAAAATGTGAACGTCAAAAAACTCCATAAGATATGATTAGGACAAACAGTTTTACTTTGTGAGCACACAAGACATGTCCTCATAAACCACATAACATACAAGTCATGTCTTTATACACATTTCTGTACTAAAGCACATAAATAAGCAAAAACACACACACACATACGCAGACACACACGCATGCACTCACTCATTCACTCACACACACACACACACACAGTACCGCTGATGTTCTCGTTCAGGATAAGGTTGAAGAGCTGTGTGAAAGCGTCTGCGTCCTGATTCAGGAAGATACTGGAGATGCAGGAGTCCATTTCTCTGAGCAGCCACGGCTCCAGCGACGACACGTCCTTCTCACTCTGAACAGCAGGAAAAAAAATATATATATATATATATACAAATAAAGTCAGAATTATTAGCCCTCCTGTATATTTTTCCTCCAATTTCTGGTAATTAGAGAGCAGATTTCTTAAACACATTTCTAATCATAATAGTTTAATAACTCATCTCTAATAACTGATTTATTTTCTCTTTGCCATGATGACAGTAAATAATATTAGACTAGATATTCTTCAAGACACTTCTATACAGCTTAAAGTGACATGTAAAGGCTTCACTAGGGTAATTAGGGTGAAGTTAGGGTAATTAGGCAAGTCATTGTATAACAGTGGTTTGTTCTGGAGACAATCCAACACTAATATTGCTGAGGGTGCTAATAATATTGACCTTAAAATGGCTTTAAAACAATTAAAAACTGCTTTCATTCTAGCCCAAATAAAACAAGTAAGACTTTCTCCAGAAGAACAAACATTAGAGGAAACACTGTGAACATTTCCTGAATCTGTTCAACATCATCTGGGAAATATTTGAAGTAGAAGAAATAATAAATAAATCACAAGAGAGCGAATAATGTTGACTTTAACTGTGTATCGAAACTGTTGCAACCATGAGTAAGAAATGATTCAGAACTATCTCCAGGCGCTGTGTAATATAATTCTGCTGCATTACA